AAAGGTTGGACTAGACCACCACCAGCATTTCCTTCCAAACAACTTTCCTACGATGACTCTATGCGTATAAGAAATCACTGTACTATGTATTAACCACTACAGATTTCTCAGCTCCTAACCCTTACAGAAAGAAACCTATTTAAAAAAGCTGCCTTTAGTCCACCTTCTGGACTCCCTTCTCTCGGAAGGGCTCCCTTCTGGCCACCATAAAAGATAGGAAATTTTAAATCTGATTTCTTCTAAACTAGGTTTATTCCTAGTTACACGAGCACAGCTCCCTTATTTGCAGTCTGATGAATCACAGGCTCACGTACGTGCCACTGCTCCTGAGCTCCACCACCTTGTTACAATAGAAGATATCAGCCAAGAAAATTCAGCGCTGAAGTGAGATGAAGACAGTTCTGAAATGAACTTGCTGTTCCAGGCACAGTTAACCTCCTAACCTCTCATTACCATGAGGATATTAACAAATCTGAGAAACTGCAGAGAACAGTCATAAAAATGATTAATAGGCAGGAAGCACTCATTTTTACAGGGAGAAAAACCAACAGCTAAATATGTACAACATATCAAAGAAAAATGATACATATAGTCTCATCATGGGGACAGCATAGTGTGTTACAGAAGAAATTCTACAGCCGCACCAGGTGCCTTAGTTCAGCGTTAGAGAGTTCACACACAGTTCACTCTTCCAGCTTCATTCTGTGCTTCCTTGCTTTCTTTCAATAACAATTTTACATAACATAAATTCAAATGAGTTACAATCAATTTTTCACCCAATCTGGACATATTAGAAGTTCAACCCATTCACAGATCAATACAATAGAAACCTCAGGTGGGAGAAGGAAGAAGCAAGCACTGAATTTACCGTGACCTTTTGCTGATTTTGAAAACGCCATCTCCTGTACATGTAAGCAATCTGTTTCTTTTACTACAGAGTAATGACTCATTACTTCTGTTATTTAAAAATGAAAAAGAACTCCATCTGGCGCTAAGAATTAGCGGCCAACTTGAGCGTGCCTTGATCTAAAGGTTGATTTGGTAATAAAAGAAAGGCCTAAACTACATAAATAAAGTGTATTTTAATATTTGCAGTCACTCAACATTTCAGTGTCTACCTCATAAAACTGATCTATCCCCTTCCCCACAATGAGAAGGGCTCACAGAGTCGAAGTACCAATCCCAAGAAGGCAGGGCTCAGAAGCATCCACAGGAAACAGCTGTAATTCCACTTCGGCAGACAAACTGAGAATGACTAACTTTGAATACTTAAAGGCTTCCACCACTTCCATTCCATTCAACTATGAAGCACCGGTGCTACAGGTACGTTTCCTGAATATTCACATCATAGTACACGGATTCAGGCCTAAAACTACCCAGAATCGTCCCCAAAATTACACTGAAGAGACACTGGAAGGCACTGCTCTTCAAGGTTCTTCTTCAATGCCTTCCATTCTCTTACAGACTATATATTATTCCTTAAAAAAAAAAACAAAAAAAGCTGTTCATTATTTCTCTATATGTTCTGCTAGGCACGTTAACTGTCCAACCCATAAATACTGACTGAGCTGTCTATCCTCACCTCTACCTCTCCTGGTACTGCTTAGCTCCTCTTCAAAGACGAGCGGGAGGGCACAAGGTTGGAAAAACCTCTTTCCTGGGTTACTGAAGAGAGAACAGAAAAGTCAGTCAGTAATCATAGCAAGGCAAAGGAGACAGACAGACGAATATCATGTTGTTCAAGTGGCCCAGCGCGTGCTCCAAGGCTTTGCAACTACAACAACTTCTGTCTCCGAAACACGAGCAACTCATTTGTGGTTGTGATCATTGTTTCTGAATGGAAAATACACGGTTCACGCAAAGAAAGAACAGAGGTGAAGAGATATCCTCACCTTACCCAAGAGCTTCCCTAACCTTAGCCCCCAAAACAAATCAGTGGACAACACACTGGGGTAATTTTGCCATGACTGTTTTAGAAAAAGGCTGTGTATAGTAACACTGGCAAAGGTTCCCAGATCAAGACGGATTTTGGTCCCACGCGGTGTAACATTAAGGCAAGGCTCCTTTCTCCCCTCCTACGGAGGACTAACTTCACCAGGAAACGTCTTGGTAAAATAGCTGAGGGGAAGATTAGGGCTTTTCTTGCTATTCCTGTCAGTACAAAACCTGCTCCATCTTTTATGAGCAATTTTCACTGCTGTTCTCAGCAGACGAGGAGCTCCCTCTCTGGTTTCACACGCCTGCTCTCCCCAGCAGTACAGGGTTTTACACCACACGCGCAAAGAAAACGCACAAAGGGAGCCGCCGCTTCCATTACCCGGCTACATCCTGGCACATTTTCTCCGCTTTTTAAGATCTGAATGCATTACTTTAAAACACTTTCACTCACACAACGAAAAGTGACAACTTTTAAAACATGTTACCTTACATGAAAAATGGCAATACGGAAAGCTAACCAAAAAGAGAAATCGGCCAAAATGGGACTAATTGGAAAGGAAAAAAAAAAAAGCTTTCAAAATCAGCAACGATTGAACATCACACTGAACAATCTAAATAAACCAGCTGAGCCTAATTCGAGTGAATTTAAATCATTCAGTTTCAAGCACGGTGATGAGCGTGAGGCAAAGCCCCACGGAGGGGGCAGGGCAGCTGCGGCCAGAGGACCGGTGGGGCGCCCCGGGGCGGCCGGCCGGAGACACCCCGT